CCTCTGTCGGGGAACAGGGCAGGGAGCAGGTCAGAAGAGCTTGGGGAACAAGTGGCTGGAGGCACAGGTGTCCTTGGAGGTCAGCGTGATGGAGCTGGGGCAGAGGCCTCTTTTCTAGCAGGGAAAAGCCTCAGAGAAGCTAAGGACAGTATCTGAGGGAGATAGGACCAGCAAAAGGGCCGAGGCTCACCAGAGGCTGTGGAGGTGGAGGCCTGGTCATCCTCGGGCTGGCCCGTCTGCCTGAGCACACGGTCAATCTCCAGCACATCCATCCACTGGCTCAGCTCGTGCTTGAGCTCTGCCAGGCGCTGCTGCGTGGCAATCTTCTCCCGTGCCAACCGCTCCATCTCATGTTCATACTCTTTCTCCTTCCTCTTCAGGGACTGGGGACAGGGCAAGGGACAGCAGGGTGCCCTTAGCAACAGCCACAGGCACTATGGCCCTCAAAACCTCTGAACCAGTGGGTCTTAACCCTCCTAACGCTTTGACCCTTTAATACAGTTCCAAATGTTGTGGTGACTCCCAACCATAAGATTATTTTTCTTGCTACTTTATAACCTCTACTTTGCTACTGTTACAAATAATAACAGTAAATAATATAAATAGTTGATAGGTGATCCCCCCCCCAAGGGGTCATAACCCACAGATTGAGAACCACTGCTCTGGACAATCTGCAGTGACCAGAGCAGCTGAGAGGCCACACCTGCCTCCTAGTCCATCCCTCTGCCCAAAAGGACCAGCACCTGAGCCACCGTGGGCCCCTAAGCACAGATCCAAGGCTGCAGGCCCTTCTCCACACCACCCTGACCTGGTCTTGAGGGACTTAGTCTCTCATCCCATCTCCCTCCCTCCCTCACAGCGTCTGCCACTACTTATCTTACTATGTTCACTCACTGAAGCTATAGTGACTCTCCTTGGTACCCCCCCACAAAGGAGCTACACTACCTCTATACCATTCCTGTGTGTCCATGCTACCTTTGTCCCCAGAAGGCTTCTTGCTAGACTCTGACAGCACCGTGTCTATCACAGGCTTCTATCTGCTTGGCAGCAACACTGGCTTGCCTCTCCTTAGCCATCCATGCTTCCTCTCCTCTCTCTCCAACTTGCAATTCACACATCGCTCCCCACTCAGGACTCTGCCTACAACTCTCCAGACCTCGGGGGGACATTGAACCTGAAAAACCTGTGGCATGCCCCACCTGCCAACAACAAAGGATCTTGGGGAGCTCCACAGCACCCCACGTCTGACTGCACACCCCTAGGGACTTTTCACCACACAGTCCAAACCAGCCAGCCCTTCCTCAGCCCAGATAGCCCGGCTTCCCTCAGAACACAGGAAGGTCTTCCTTAGTCACAGTGCCTCTTCTATACTCGGCCCTGCCCCAGTCTGAAGCCTCACTACGCTTTGTTTGCACACGCTTAGGAGCAGCTCCAAAAGGCCAGCTCATGCTCGTTTTCAGCTGCCTTCAAAAGTAAAGCGCCTCCGTGACCTCCAGACCCCGACACTTTAGCTCACCTCTTCTGTCCCCCAACCCAAGTATGCCAACCCTGCCATGACTATCCAGTCAAGGCAGACACTCCTACCCTTGCAGACTCCAGAGTCCAGTTCTCAACCTGCTTCTAGACATCTAAGTAAAACATGGGGTCACTTCCAGATACAGTGACCATGGACACTCCACACATTAGCTTGTCTCTGAACCCTGTCTACCTTGCTGTTCACACAATCCACCTGCCTTATCCACCACCCCCAGGGGGGTCCTGTCTGTCTGTCTCTTTCTCAGTGATACTTACTTGCAGAGGAAGAGGACACACTGCTACAGTGAAAGTGCAAGTCAGACAACAACTTATAAGGCTTTTTCTCAACTTCTACAATGTAGGCCCTAGCTGACATGCTTAGCTCCTTTACCCGGTGGCACACTTCATCAGCCTGCCCCTGGTCTGTCTTCTCCTAGACCACAATCTCCTCCACTATCCTTCCCAGCCCAAGGCCTTGTCAGCATACCCTCCTGCCTCAGTCTTTCCCAGGGCTCCTACTGTGCATCAGCACTAAATGGGAGTCTGTCAGATGGGTCTTCATTAGCCCTGGCTCACTGGACCACGTGATAACTGTCTCACCACACATGGTCCCTGTCCAGTCTGTGAGGGATTATGAGGGCTGCTCTACAATCAGCTTCTAGCCTTGACAGTATCAGTGGCCAGGAGGAGGCTTCCTCTGGCCGCAAAGGATCTGTAAACCTGCCACTCTCCTATCGGGATGTCAGCCTCCACCCCATATCTCTCCTTTGTCAAAGGGAATCCAGCAGACCCACCCCTCCCATTTCTGTGACCCAGCAGCAGCTCGGCAGCTTCTGATGGGGTACAGCGACGCCTTCAACCCCCTTACCACTAGACCCCACTTCCCCACACTCCTCCAGTGGCACCAACCTTCAAACTATCGGTGCCTACAACACAGGGCCCAGAGCCATGCCATGCTGGCCTTGACATACGTGCCATTAATTTCATACCACAGTACCCCTCTACCACCCCGACTTCAATTTAACCTGCTTCTCCTCAGACTTCTGCTAGAAAACAGTAGGAAGGCCCTTGTCTTTACCCTAACACACAAACACACGTGGCACCTGTGTGTCCTCTCACCTGGCTCTGTCCCTGAGGGCTGCATATGACATCAGAGGAGGCCACATCAACCATGGGCCCTTGGTGACTCAGTCCTCACTTGAACCTTGGGGTTGTTGGCTGGAAGTGCCATCCTCACCTCTATCCACTGCTTGCAGGGAGGCTATATTTTGGGTCAGGGAGATAAAGCGTCAGGGGCCAAAACACACTCCCTTCCACACAGTTCAGCCCTGTAGAGCTAGAGACCCCTGTAGAGCTCCCCCAGAGTCAAAGGTTAGTCCACACTGCTTCATTTTGCTTTGTGGTGCTAGCAATTAAGGTCAAAGCTACAGTAATGCTAGACAAGTTCTCTTCTGAGCTGGAGTCCCCTGTCTACACGACTTTGCTTTACACCCATCCTACGTCAGGTGTCCATCTGGGTACATGTTCATTCTCGTCTCTGCCCACTTCACTGTGGCTTTCAAGTCCTTCAAGCAACTTTGGCCACCACCTGGGACCGACACCCTCCTGTAACACCCCCTGCCCTTAGACAAGACTAGGTTTTACTACACAAACCCAGCTGGTCTGGAACTCAGATCCACCTGCCTCTCCCTCCAGTCCTGAGATTAAAGGCAGGCAGCAACAGGACAGGCCTTCTTCCTACAGCCTTTCTCTTCTGGACACACTACCAAAGCCCTAAGTCTGGAAGGCCTCACTGCTCTCTCCAGAACCAACTTTCAACTCTCTCCTAGTGCCTGTTGCCTCTCTGCAAGACAAGTCACCCCTCTATCATCTTTTTATGTCTCCCTCCTGCTGAAGGAACAACCACTCTGTCCTCCACGTTGCCTTGTTCACCCAGACATATCTATCCTGCAGGCCTCTGCAAATGTCCTTTTGCCACCAATACTTTCCTAATGTCCCAAAAAGATCCTACTACCCCTCAAGGCAGTCATTGGATCCGCTGCAGGGCCCAATCTACCAGGACATAACCTACCCCTTTTTCTTTGGTCTCTGGTTTTCAGAAGCAAACCCATGACCAAAAACATTTGATGAAATAAATGAAAGGTGCCACACAGGGTTTCCAGAATTCTTTTGGTTTGGGGGGCCTTTTTTGTTTTTGTTTTCTGAGACAGGGTCTCTCCATGTAACAGCTCTGGCTGTCCTGGAACTCATTTTCTAGACCAAACTGGCCTGGAACTCACAACAATCGGTCCAGCTCTGCCTCTCAAGTGCACCACCCACCACCCTGCCCGGTTTCCAGAATCTTGTGACTTCTGTTTCTGTTACCAGCACCAAGCAAGCATTCTCATGGACAGCCTGGAGCCCCTCCCACTTCCTTGTCGGTTTAGGCCTGATCCTAGGGAGCTTCCTTGGGCTGCTTCTACCGCAGCTGAGATATTTTCAAATCCACACATTATGCAAAGCTCCCATTCCCCCAGCACACATCTATAAAAAGGCACTTGCCTTGCTCCAGCTCCTACTTCTCTGTCACAATTCCTATTAATGTTTAGAGACCGCAAGATTTTTGCGTAAATGTCAATTCTTCTACCATCTCTATGGTACTATTTTTTTCTTAGCATCACCAAATGAGGAAACTGATACTCAAAAGAAAATGTCACCGCATAATGACAGAGTTGTGCTAAGAGACTGATTTGGTAAAGACAACCGATTTACGCCCAAACCTGAAGTCAGTAAGATTATCAC